GTCTCAGAATCAACTCCTTGCACTGCAAAGGAGATTCGCGTTGCCTAAAAACATTGTCATTCTTGCTAACCTAATCCACTGTAATTGTTTGGTTTCCATTTCACTCCGTTTTGTATTCATCTTCTGTTATTATTGTTGTTGTTTTGTTGGCACCGTGCTTGTTCGCAAGCAGGATATATATATATATATCTGTTTCCCATGCAGTTCCCTGAACCTCAACACCAATCCCTTTTACCACAAAAATTCGTTTATGTTTTAACCCCCGCCCTCCTCCTCATCTCTTCTATGTGTCTCTGTCCATAGGGGCTTTCGCTCCGTCCTCAAACCGGCCACAAACACGGCATCTGTCCACAGTCAGCCTCGGTCCGATATCGCACTGGTCACGCCGTGCTCGAAATTCCAGCGGTGGTTCCGGTTGTCCGTTGGCTCCCGCATTGGTCGGTCCTGGTCTGACCGGTATTTGTCTATCGGGGCCTAATTCCAGTGCGATTATGTATCCTGATCCACTGGTCTACTACATGCCTACCCTGTTGGACGATCCGGATTTGCTCGTGGCTACAGGCAAACGCGTACTGAAATTGCCCAATTATCTGGTTGGTTCTTTTTTCCGTTGTCCACTTGCGACCGTGCTATATGAATTTTGTCTGGGTCCATTTTTTCCGGAGCATAAGATACCGGTGCTGATTTTAGTGTAACTTTCTGCTTATCGCTAAGTGAAGGTTTTTTCAGCTGTGATTATAAAAAACACTATCACCCTCCCTGATCAGTCGAAGGACGTGACTGGTCTACACCCACCTAGTGTAACACCCTTTCGATCTAAACTGTTATCATTCCATCGATTTTACCATCACCACCACCTACTATTGTTCAGTTTTTTTTATTGCCCATCCTAGTTTGTTATGCGTAGAAGAATGGCCAACCTTCGCAGTCCGCAGACTCGATCATGGAAGCCCGGAACCAAAAATTTTAATGTGCACGAAAAACCAAACACACACATGAAACTTCAATGAATACCTATTGAATCGGGTGACTCTAAGTCGATTCGGGTATCACTAGTAGGGTTTGAATCTAATATCTTAAAACCATCTGTTTTTGTTGTTCTTGTTTTGATTGTGGTGGTGGTGTAAAAATGTCCGTTCGAGCTTAGTTGTATGAATTTGTATAAGCGCCAATTGCCATTGTTTACCCGCTGTTCCCTTCCTTCGCCTCCCTCCTTCTCCCTACCGGTCACATGGCTGTCTGTGAGTGAACAGACCAGTGTGATCACCTATGTGAAACCGTCCGAACAGAAACGGAATGTGAACCGAGAATTTCACGAGCGTTTTCCACTGATCCAACTGACACTGACCAAATTGCGCAGTATCAAATCCGTGCTGATCAGAGTCACTCAACGGGTATGTTTACTCTCTCTCTCACCGGTGTTTGTATTATTAATTTCTATAAGTGTAATGATAATAGTAACGACGTATGCTGTTCGGGAGTCATGTGACGCAAAGGGTTATCTGTGTATGACGACTTAGATCAGTTGCATGTATGTTCCATACAAATTGAATTGTAAATTTGCTTGGTGGCTAAAATTGGAATGATGTTTTTGTAAAATGTTTGTAACAAAAAAATATAAACTGTGGACAAGGTGGGGTAGGGGAGAAAAGGGCTCATACGGTCTCTGTTGATTTCGAGACACGATCTGGTACAATGGTTGACATTATCATCGCGTGACAAAGGACACGAGTGCATTTATGTCGGCTGTAGATCAAAAGAGTGGACTGGAATACTTTCACCAGAGAATGAGAGAGGGGGGAAAAAAGGCATGCAATCACTGTTGCTGAAAAATCGTCGTGTTTTTCTAACCATCTAAAAATTTTCCCTCAATATTATTATTATGTCATAATATTCTAACCTATTTAATGTGCTTAGACAGCTGATTGGAAGCTCACGATGTTTATGGCCAACATGAGTTGTGCTCATACTGTGTTCCTTGTTCTATTTAAATGGATTTAAGGGAATAAAGGTTGTTTTCCATTATTCCTATTTTTATTAATTTGTGCGGCAATCCGAACGGTTCACCATTTCGTTTCGATCACATTCTGATTTCAGCTTTCTTTGGATTTGTGGATTGTCGCTCATGCTATTGTTCTGTTTGAGAAGTTAATTTTACGAGTAAGTCACACTAGTCCTTGGTGTGGTGTTTATCTAATATTGTTTCTTATTTGGTTTGCTTGGTTTATGCACGTCAGCGAATGTGTTCAGACTGCGCCACTGCTACTCGACTTTGGTTGTTGTTGTTGATGTTGATGTTGTTGATGAATCTGACTCTTGCGGGGCCTTTGAATTCGGCCGCGTCATTTATCTCGAAAATCATATTTACACTTTTTTGGATTTATTCTTCATCAAATCGTATTGTTATCAATTTCAAGGACACAAAATGCTATCCTACACGAGCACGTTCATGAAATCGTTATGTGTTATCGCGCGAACTGCAGCTTTTGTGAAATATTCCAATAATGTGAGAAATAAATTCAAGCGGATGATCAAAACACAAAACGGCGGACAGTGCAGCACTAGTCAAATGCAAATTCCTCTCATTTTAACAAGCAATGTTCGTTTTCTGTTGGGAAAAGTCGAGGAGGTGGTAGACATCACAAAGAAAAAGGAGTACAAAAACCTAGGAATTATTATGCTTCAGGAATCGTGGCTACATGAAGAAATCCCTAGTGAAATTTTACAGGTGGATGGATATAACTTGTATCGGGTTGACCGCCCCGCGAGTGTCCGTAAACGGGGCGGAGGTGTTGCAAGTTACGCAAGCGAAAACTGGAGTAAATCAACTGCTGTCATTTACGAATACTCAACGGTTAAAATCAG